GATGATAATAAATTTTGGGAAATAAGGCAATGGAAACTTAAAGCCCACTCACATCATTGTGAGAAAATTAATCTCTAATCCTTCATCGCATTGAAATAAAAGGCTAAACACAGCTCTTATAATTTCTACGCGAGGGGTTCTGGTACAGAGAACACTAAGCTGAACATAGAGAATAGATTAAATTACATCCAAATAAAATCAAAGTCGAGGTTAAAAAAGATTATGTACTCACCTAAATCGCATCACCAGTAGGCTTCTGACCCAGGTTTTAAAGTCGAACAAGCTATTGAGCAACATTATATTGGTAACATGGCAAATAGGACTTGCCTTAAGCTCAAATAACTAGGGGAAATTTCCCATTAAAAGGTGAATGTGTGCTTTCCTAGATTTTAAACCTTTCTTTAGTTGAGAAAAAATAACTATCTAAAGCACTTAATTTAATATCAATGCAGGATCCTCCCTATATATTCGAATATGGAAAGTTCTGACTTGCCTAAAAAGTAGTGTGACGATAGAATCAGAACAAACATATTTTTTAGAGTTAATTCTTTTATATCTAGTCCCGATTGATCCAAAGGAGGATTTGAAGGCCACAACTAAGCGACTAATACTTATGATGCACACAGAGTAGAATAAAAAAATTTTCTCTTGTATCCAAATTATGATTTCTCAGGTGTAAACTAACGTGTTTAGTTGTGGTGCAGGAGGTACCCTGCAGCCAAGTAGCCTGAAGGCTCCTGGCCTTAGCCATTTCAATCAGTTGGTGAGTGTCCGTCGCCAATGAGTACTCTTCCGCTCGGCGACTTAAGGCCTGATTATCTATTGCTATAAGGCCGAACTTTGGTAGGACAGAGGAATGGATAAAATTTGTGCAGGGTGCTGTAACAGAACTGCTGATCACGGTGCCAGATGGTGTGACCTCGATGAAAGTTTTTTCACGGACTGGACACCCGCAATGAGTATCTGCCTCTGATTTGATCAGAGCTAATTGGCCAAAGGCTTCAGCATCAGGCGGGAGAACCCGAGAGGGAGAGGTAGGGCTCACTGTAGTACTTGCAGCAACATATTCGTCGAGGACAGATGGAGGCGGAGGTAGTGGCCAAAAGTCTGAAGGCGTGTCGTTGCGGGGACAATGAGGACTAGTGTGAGAAACTTCAGGCTGTATTGACTGGGAGACCGAGTCTGAATTTCCAAGCGAGAGGAAAAAGTCAGGAGAAATGTCCATTAACATTAATAATAGAAAGGTATTTTGAGTGATGCAGAATCTGCTAAAAACGAATGAATTTCACTTTGAGCAAAAGTGCCTGATGAAAGGATTCAAAAGATGATCAAAAGAGAAGGCGATGATTGATTTCCGTTGCTGTACAGTTTTATTACGACGTTTGGATTGAAGCAGTCTATGAAACATATTCCTTCGCTCGGTTGGAAACGATTAGGCCACATTTCCACGGGTGCCAGTGGGTAGTAGAGCTCAGCTTGTTGTACCTTTTGATACACTGGTACACATGGCAATGTGACATAAGAGTAACGTGTCCAAAATGTGCATTGTACTACCAGATTCGAGTCTCATTTATGATGCAGATAAGAACAAAACGAGTTCGAAACTGGAGTCCACTATAGATGATAATAACTTTTGGAAAGAAGCAGGGAAAGTTTAATGGCATCGATAGGCTTAATTGTACATGGAAAACTTCAAATATCAGTCCTTCATCATTTAGGGCGACTTGGGTTGACCACAGTTATTGTTGTATATTGGATTAGAGAACATACATAAGTTATATATTACGGTAAAAAAGTAGAAATATGTATCCCTTAAAACACGCCCGTATTGCGCTACAATGGCAAATGAAAAGCTATAAAGAAGGCCCACCTTAAGAATAGAGGGACAGCATTTTTAACTTGGTGTTTTAGATGTCGGTAGTTGGCAAAATTAATTAAAAAAGATACTTGATTTTGTCAAAGAAATTTAAACTAAATTAAGGAGACGGTCTTGTTTAGGATGTGATATTAGCCTTTTAAGCTGGAGAGTATGATGAAAGATAAGGTATCTGTTTGTGGAACCACAAGTTATTTGTTTGAGAGCCATTGGAACAAATAAATAAAAATGGTGGATCCAAAAAGCTGTCAAGCCCAAATTCTAATCTATTTTGGAAATTCAAGGCACAATCCTATTGGATCACATAGTGTAACGGAATTTTAAGGGAGCCTAGGCATTTACA